TATTATTAAAGTATAATTAATTAAAGAGAGAAAGAGAGAGAGAGAGAAAGAGAGAGAGAGAGAGAGTGAAAAAGAGTGAGAGAAAGAGAGAAAGAGTGAAAGAGAGTGAAAGTGAGAGAGAGAGAGAGAAAGAGTGAAAGAGAGTGAGAGAGAGAGAAAGAGTGAAAGAGAGTGAAAGAAAGAGAGAAAGAGTGAAAGAGAGAAAGAGTGAAAGAAAGTGAGAGTGAGAGATTGAAAAAGAGAAAGAGACAGGAAAAAAAGAGAGAGAGATTACGTCACGAAACTTTTATCCCAGATTATCAATTACAATTATATGAAGAAATACCGTGCCAGCCAAAATAACCTAAACACCCTGTAGTATATGCCACAGTATCACAGAATGCATCGTTACATTATGAATACATGCAACATTATGTATTTAATCATTACAGAAGTAATTATCTCTACTTGTGATGGTTGTACTTACGTAAAGGAGGGTACTTTACAGTGTACATTACATTAAATTACATTTACATTACATTACATTACAGTTCCTATCTGAGTTTATTTTATTTTGTTGTTTTTTTTTAATTCGGCGGGATTTCTTCAAACCATCTGCTATCTGACGAATATGAAATAAAATATACAAAATATTTAAATAGAATGTATACTAGATTTGAAGTTTGAAAGGTCTTTGGGTATTCGTTTGGTTTTAAATTTGTATTAAGCTTTCTATGTGAAGTAATTTACTGACAGATTCATAAAGTAGAATGGTTATTTGGGGATTATTTTAAGAAGATGTATGTGTGAAAAGGCTTTAAACTTTTGATAAAACTAACTACTTGTACTACTACTACTACTACTACTACTACTACTACTGCTGCTGCTGCTGCTGCTACTACTACTACTTCTGCTGCTGCTACTACTGCTACTGCTGCTGCTACTACTGCTACTACTACATCTACTAAAATTTTATATCTTTTTTAGTATTAACAGGTTTAGGAGAATGTAGTCGTTAGAAGCACACGAGCAATTCTTTCAACTCAAACAACTTCAGTAAAATGTAAATACTTCAGCACAAGTACACCATACATACATACATACATACATATATACATACATACATACATACATACATACATACATACATACATACATACATACATACATACATACATACATACATACATACATACATACATACATACATACATACATACATACATACATACATACATACATACATACATACATACATACATACATACATACATACATACATACATACATACATAAAGGACGCTTTATATATAAATAATCTAATAAATAAGCATACATACATACACACGCATATTGTATACATGCTTACATAACCACCTACAAAAAATTGATACATGTGTATTATGTTCTATTTTGATAACAACATACACCACCATACAATGATACCTATCTTGTTTTCATTTTTTTTAACTCTTTCCTCCTTTGATTCTCTCTCTCTCTCTCTCTCTCTCTCTCTCTCTCTCTTATTTTTATTATGTTTTTTCCATACTTTTTCGTTGATTGTTGATTTTTAAGTTTCCAATCTCTCTCTCTTTCTCTCTTTATATGTTTTTTTTATGTTTCCTTATAACTTTCTTCCTTTTTTGCGAACTCTTTCCCCTTCTCCCTCTCCTTCTCACTTAGCAGGCAGGAAGACCAATAACTTCACGTTTGCCTGGTATTTGGCAATGTTACACTTAATTGCTGCCCTAACCATCATTGCTACAAGAAAAAAATTACTCTGCACACACACACACAACACACACACGCATACAAAACACACACATATGCATACGTACATGCACACATAGTTACAAACATACAAGCGTAGAAACACGTAAGAATCGCATGCATGTTAACTTAGGCGGGCTGTACACTGAAGCACACATGACCTGTTGTACGTCTGCTGTACAATACACGCACAAACGTACACTTCTTCTTACTGCACGTTAAATCAGGATGCATTACTACTCTTTGCTATGTGTACACTAGGCAAAGCAAGCCAGACTCATCGCACCAACGTAAACATGCGTGCATACAAAATATGCACGTATTTGTACACTCAAATAACTTCACGTACATCATAAGTCACATAACGCATACAAAGACTAAAGTGTGTACAAAAACTTGCGTATAAATATAAGCAGTACAAGGAAACTCTTCTGCGTATCGATATTTTGACATACGAAGGCTTCTTTCATAGTACTGAATAAATATAAATGGAAGTAAAAATTCTTCCAATTTCACAGGAACATGCATTCGCGCAAATTATTTGTATCAAAAGATACAAATACCAAAACACCACATACAAACACACGTACGTAAATACAAAGATACGTAAATACAAAGATACGTGAATACAAAGATACATAAATACAAAAATACGTAAATACAAAGATACGTAAATACAAAGATACGTAAATACACGCAAGCACGCGCCGTCTTATTTTTTTTAATTTCCGTCGGTACATACTCCTCCATGTATGAGGCGAGCTTTCATCTCTCTCTTTCCACCTCTCTCTCTCTTCCTCCTTCTCTCTCTCTTTAGATTTCTGCGTATTTCTGCGTATAAGCGGGTATTTTTTGTGTGTGAACGATTTTGTCTGCGTGTATTGAGTTTGTGTGTGTATGTGCGTGTGCGTGTGTGTGTGTCTGTGTGTGTGTGTGGTTTGTATTTTATTGGCACTTTTTGGACGATGATCGAACAATATAAACAAGATACGCTTGAACGAGTGAAATAATGAACGTACGAATGAAAAAACGAGTGAACGAACAAATGAATGAACTAGTGAGCGAAAGAATGAACGAACGAGTGAATGGACGAACAAATAAATGAATGAACGAACAAACGAAAGAATGAACGAACGAAAGGATGAACGAACGAAACTCTCATGCTTCGACCTCCAGTAATCCCACTCTTTGTATGCAGCGCAGTACAAAATGACTTTGTATTATTGCCATACACGGTCTAGGTATTTCATAATACCCGCCTTTAATAATAATAATAATAATAATAATAATAATAATAATAATAATAATATGAATAATAATAATAATATGAATAATAATAATATTGACAACAAGAGCCATTAAATCACTTTTTTCAAAAAATTTTTAAACCCTAACGGCGAGTGAGTTTTGACTGACTCAACTCGTG